GAGAGACAGGCGCAAACTTCATTGATCGTCTGCAATGAAGAGGGAAAATTTGGTTTTTCTCGAGTACTTTAAAACAACTGGTATCTGATATGTTTTTTCTGACAAATTCCATGGAGGAGAGTCCTGAAAGAGCTCAGCTAGTCAGTAAATTCCCCGCCTTAAAAAGCCGTTTTATTTCTGTATGAACAAGAGTCCACCACCGGCCCCTTTCTTGAGCCATGTCTAGTCCACACTCTTCCACCTTGTTTCCTTAATACCAGGTTAATATTGCCCTCCTGTCTGCTCCAAGGCATTCCGAGAAATCTTTTACTTTCATGCTATCGGACTAAAATTTTGAACCCATCTCCTACATTACTTTATACATTCATCTACCACAGACCCATCTTAAGCGTAACTAATTCAAGTTAAATAAGAAATGTCTTAATCAAACTTTACTCAATTGTAAAGCATGTATGACGTATTTACGTCAAATTCTCCGGAACCGTGGTTCCACTGACAACTTTTTAGAAAATATAACCCGAAAAAACTATGCTTTAACGTAAGCATACGGAACTGTTGTAATTTGCTTTGTGTTTTGCACGTTGAAATGCGCGTTGTCGCCATTTTGCGAGAAATAATCGAGAAGCTTTCGCCAGGAGATCAGTCAGTGACATCAACTTTTCCTCAAGTTTCGTGTGCGTCGGCTCATGGGATCAAAGTTCTGCAGAATCACACACTCACACGGAAAGGATGTAACTTGTTCAACAAGCTTACCTTAACTTACCAGATAAGATAAATAAGGATAAAGAAGAACCATGAACTTCACGTGTAGTTGAGGTAAAGTCAACTTAAGCCGGTAAATATTCCATGCCTTGACTAGTATTCACTGCCGTTCTCCATTCCGATATTTTTCGTGGTTTTCCTTCTTTCGGACAGTGTAGTACCCTGACATAAGTCATGTTTTCTTCTTCCATTAGTTTAGAAAACTGAAATAACCTCAGCGTTTCATACAACGTTTTAAATAACCTGGCGTAACCTACAGGTGTTACATGATTGGTTTATTCCGTCTTTCATAAAAATGAGTCATTACTTGAAGGAAGCAGGGACCATGTATCAGTCTTGTTCTCACAAGCATCTACTTGGAATGAAAACGCGGTTAATTAAATGTGATGAAAGAAGAATGATACCAGCCGCCTAGAGACTCAGTGGCCACAATCCAAGCACTTCCACTTCCGCTAGTATTGACTCATTTTCCTTGTCCGATATTTCATCTTTTATTGCCAACTCTTGTGTATCCAACGAGTATGTATGCAGACCACTCGTCTGGACAGGCGCCGTCATAAATCATTTGATTTCAACTAGTTTTTCTTTTTTTCAAGCAGAACTTTGGCTATCTCTGAAACACATAGTTGAGTGCCAAAAGGATTTATAGGCTACGAGGACCACTACGAGCAATAATGTTACATGAGATGGACTTGAACATAACAATTTTCTATCTTACTGCTGATTTTGTGTCTTCTTTGTGAGGTGATGACTTTTTTACTTAAACTTTTCTGACATCTGTCTTCGCAGTTTCTGCTAGTTACGTCAATGTATCGCATGTAACCCTGAGATTGGAAAGTGTGAAAGGGATCGATCGTGACCTAATTTAAAGCGTTATCCAAGCATTTGCACTGAGTTACTGAAAACCACGAAAAGCCTTAGTCAGGATAACCGGTCTCCGAGAACCAGGAATTTCCCGAATACAAAGCTGCTAACCAATCGACTACCAAATTCGACTGTTATTACTTCTCTAAAGAATTTATACTTGCGTGATATTAAGAAATTCGGACACTTGCCTCTTGATACTGGTAATTTAAATAAGCAGACGACACAGAAGAGAATAGTTCATCTTGACGCTGTCATGCACACAAGTCGACACATTGAAGCTTCGATCAGTTCTTATAATCATTAAACAAATTGTTACCCTATTCAGCCAGGAGGGATTTCTCTCCCTGTCTCGTCCAGTTCTCCGGCTTCCAGCTGTTTCACCATTAGCGGAATGGTGGCTGGACTCCCAGCAGCTGCAGCTTCGCCGTCCTCTACCCATCCCTAAAACGTTTTAATGCACCCAGCATTATTTCAAGCTTTCTCTCTCATGCTTCCCGAGGAAGATAAATGTCAGCACTTTTATTCAGGTCCTTCATTCAATCTGTTCATTCATGTCTCTTCGGAGTTTTTTTGCGTTTATATTTCCATGTATATTTTAATATTTGTTTCATTCATAACAATGCTTCAAATAATATCAGTTCAAATTGACGTAATCGTGTCTTGTAGCTTCTAGCTTGTATTTAATTAAGTATGTTTCGTGTTTTAATCCAGAATCCATTTGTGCTATAAGCACTTGCCGGGAACACGTTTCAGGAATTTAAATTCTTTTAATCTCGTTCCATAATTACGAGAACTTTGCTCGGAATCGCAGTGGTGTTCAGTGTCTTCTACAATTTGTATGCGGGAAATAAAATTTGGCTATCCATGTGCTTAAAAAGCAAGACATGAAAATAGAGAAGGTTTCTTTAAGCTTTACGTATTTTGACACACAGCCATGAACAGAACGGACTTCGAACCTACGGTCCCAGGTGGGTACTACCGAATACACTAAGCACCTTAAATGGCTAAACCACTGATGTCGGCCATAAACTTAACTTAATGCAGTAATCTGTAGACTTTCGAGAGCAATTTTCTTAATGGCAAGGCAACTTTCTAACCAGAGATGCCAGAGTGGTGTGGACCTAATCGAGAGGGATGCAATACACATTCAGTATTAAAGAAAGAAAAATCATTAAAGCAATCTTATATAATTGTATACAAATTTCTTCGAGGAATTTAAGTTGTTTGCGTGTTGATTGATCTGATTCGACTATCAGCAAATTATAGAAATCAGATTCAGAGATAAATTACACCTTTATACATAGGCATTCCTTTATTATCAGATTTGCGAATGTTTATACCGAAATTATTGTGAAGATGGGGTGAACAACGTGAATCTGAGATGAATGCTGAAGGAGAATAGGCTTTAAAAGAGATTTACCTCAACCCTCACTCATACCTTCGAATTTTCAGAGGTTAATTTAATGCAATAAGTTTTGATGGAGTTGATCAGAAAGTTTACAGAACTTTGTTACCGGTTGAGTGGCTGCGGGCATTGTCAGTTTTAAAGCTGTGGAGGTTTCGAGGCAGTTACTCCTGTGCTGTGACGGAAGTTGAAGCAAATGGAAGGTGCAGCGAACAAGTAAGGAAATGCTTCTGAAGCGAATCAGAATTTGATTTCTCGCTTTTGCGAATGCCGCCGGTCTGGGCTGTTGACGTCAGGACAGGCTCGGTGTCTGCTTGGGTGGTGATGTGATCACTGGGAATCTGCAGGTGGTTGCACTGCTGTTTGCGGACTTCCGACCCACTCATTTCAGTGCGTAGAGAGGCATGTAAATCTTCGTGGAAACTGTTTGTTATTGTTGCCCCAGGTTTACCAAAACAAGAATATCAACGTCTGCGGAATAGAATTTTATATATCCAGTCATTCTCGTATTGTTACAGACGGACAAAGACACGGGGCGAAGGTAATAAGCACTTGAAACGTGGTTAAGAACACGTATAAAATAGAATGGATAAGCTGATGAGTTACACAATGTCGTTTCGCATTGGGAGGTAGGCACTATGTCAGCTTTACGCTCCGACCTATTTATCCCAGACGAAAGAGCCACCGATGCCAGTTACATATGAGTTTCTGTGGGACGGGACGTGACAGCCAACAGTAAAATATGAATCTCTCTGGTTTCGAACCCCTGACCTCTGTTTTGAAGCCATTTTGCTGAAGAGATATCGCGGTTCATGGCTTGGCTCAACAGAGAAAATGTATTAAAAGATACTGTGCTTTGGATATCCAAGATGTGAAGGCGGAAGTTGGGCCTGTCTCTGAAGGCACTTTAGTTATCTTCATTAAGTTCGTAGCAGAGATCATGTCTGATTTATTATTCTGTTAAACTCTGGTGCCTTAACGAGTTTAATAACGTAAACATCACAAGAAGAGGATATAAAGTAGGCGTAATGATAAAATATAAATATGTAATGCAGATACTGTTCCCGCGTCAAGACTGGGAATTAAAAACGGGAGAAAGGAGTGATCTTCCTGCGCACTCCGTCTATTGCTATTCAAAACACATTGCATTCCAGTAGTACTCAGTAGTGCAGCGCATTTTTTGCACGAATAGTGTATGCAGGGGTGGACCCATGTTTTTGCGAAGAGGATAACGTTTGGTAACTTGTTTGACTTGAAGATCGGATTCGAATCCTGGCAGACAAAGTTGTTCTTTTCGCCACCGGCTGTCGAGTCCACTTAGTTTCCTGTCCATCAGTTTTATCCCAGTGGTTGAAGCAGCTGGAACGTGATGGCCACTAACCCATCTAGTGCCAGTGTTCGCCAGTGCTTTCAAGACGTCTTCCTTTGTAGCAGTAGCAGCGTCACCTTCACGTATGCAAACACTTCATTTGAACAGCTAACAGCTGGATAAGTAGAGCGTCTATCTGTTTTTGCAGGCATAGTAACCACAGCAACCCGAGTGGAGTGAGCCCCGGGGAGCGGTCTCCGTTCGAAGGATCCTGTTGTGGAAGTAGTTACAACAACATCAGCTCCGAGGCTAGCGTGGAGGAGATTACGAAGTATCGGGTGGTGCTGTTGGGGGACGCTGGCGTCGGCAAGACAGCTCTCGTATCGCAGTTCATGACGTCGGAATACATGAACACGTACGACGCTTCACTAGGTAATGATTTCACGTATCTTTTACAGGTGACTTGAGAATCGCCGCGTGTAACTAAAACGCGTAAAACGGAAAACGTGTAACAATAGTCAATTGTTAAACTGGCGCCAGGATTTTTGTTGCTGCGTTTGTCATCTGCATCATATTCCCTGATAAGCCTAGAGAATGTTAGACGCAAGTAATAGGCTTTAAATGTTGGCGGTGAATAGGATTTTGATGCCGGATATAGAAGGGGCGTATAACGAGGGTAACCTGTACTGTATAATACGGGATTATCCGTAATCACAACACACTGTCTTCTGTAACCAATTGCCGTCTGGTTTTCAAGACACGGTTTTGGGACTGTAAGGTTTGCGAGCTCTGATATACTAGTTCATGTACAGTGTCCCTAAATGGCAGTGGACGCCGTGTAGTTCCCGCTGGCGTAGGGCGTCGTCGCGGAGGCAGAAATTTAGTGTTGTCAGTGGTGCTCATTTATACCCGCAGAATCTTGCGCATGACACAATAATTGCTGAAAAATTGCTGTTGAAACCTCAGACAAGGCTGTGTGTTTATTTTCTGAATTTTGTATAAATTACACGTGGAAGAGAACCGTTAAGTTAAAATGCAACGCCCTGACAAGAAAATTAAAATGTATGCAACCTATTATGGCTCAAAAAACCTTTCTTGGTTTCATTGATTCCAGTTCAGTTGTTTACCAATCTCCTCGCGTGATACTCGCTGGAGCTTTTCAGCTCAGACACAGGAAAACCACACGATGAACCGTCCGTCACTCAATTAGACCTTCAGTTGGTATTGTCACTTCACTCTGATAAATTGTGTGCTGGGAAAAGGCAATAAATAAATCTTAAGACGTGCCACAGTCAGAAGTGCTTAGTCCATTTACTTTCAAACACGACTGGCGTGATATTATTTGAAATATTAAATTAAAGATAATGACATAAACAAAAAATAAAGCGCGCATGAAGTAAACGTGAAAGATTTTATTCAAAAAACTTTATGGACAACACCAGCCCGAAGACCTAAGCATAGATGTTAAAAGAATATTAAAAGGGGTCTTAGTCAAATGGTGTGTGAAATGTGTACTGGATTCAGCTGGCTTGGGACAGGGTACAGTGCAAGTTTCTTGTGAAACTTCAAAATTTATATAGAGGCGGATAACTATTTTATCACTTGAGCGACAGTATTTTAAAGGAACAAGGTGTTCTCATATATTCGTAGTGCATTTTTAAATAAACATTTTTCTACTCACCCATTCTGATTATGCTTTTGTCTTATATTTGTGTCCTCTGTTTAGAATTGTTAAATTATGTAAAAATAAAATAAAATAACGAGCGAAGTAATCGCTGTTATATTTTAATTTTCGTGTTTTTTTGGAAGCAGAGAACCATAAGAATTTTTGAACATAAAGAAAACAGATTTTTTTCTACTTGTAATTCTCCTTGAATAGTTTTGCTGTAATGCCTTTTAGATTGAAGATTACGCGCAGGCTTGTATTAACCAATTTTTTCCACGAATTTCTTTCGGAATTTTGACTCCAAGACGTGACATTATTTCTTTTCTCTTGATACATTTTTCTATACTTGTTTTTTTATCGGCTTATTCTGCGCTGTATTTATAAGTTCGCAATCGAAAATCAGCTTTAGTAAGATTATTCGGGTCCCCATTGGATTGAACTTTCTGATTTTATATTCTATGCAAAATAAAATACTTATTGTGGTGTATCTTTGTGAGATACATTTAGAATAAAATGAGATTTTCTATCTGTGTCATACGTATATGTGTATCGTAAAAAAATACGCTCTTTGGAATATTTGAATAGTATTAATTACATAGGCCTGCATATCCCGCCGTCATTATCAAAGTATCGGAAAATCCACTGATTTATTTCATGTGAATTTAATCAAAATTATTTTAGTATTTTGAAGTCAAGAAATGCGGACGGATGGACGAAACGAAGAATTGTTGTATTTGTTAATGTTCTGTAATTCTTGCAAAGAAAGGCATTTAGATTCTTTTCATAAGAGTGAAATGCTTAAAGTAAGAAAAAATTATGATAAAATGTTACATACAAGTACTCTGTAAAACAACCCGTCTTTGATAAAATCGGAAAATTTAAAATATAAATTCGTGTAGATCATGAGTTTTACAGAAACCTGTATTAATAAAATCAAGTGCACTAAATGGTAAACACCCGTTCAGTTGAACCTGTCTGAATCAGCCCCTTTGAAATGTATGCACACAATATAGACACAATTAGTGATATTCCGATTGTGTCAAAATTTCAGATAAATTATATGAATTAAATTAAGAGAAAAAATAATAGGTCGGCTATTTTTATTAGTATTACGTCTTTGTCTATTTTCCACATCAGTATAGAATCAAACATGTTTCAAGGAATTGTATTGTGTATTGTTGTGAAGAAAAGTAGTTTCTTAGGCTGGAAGAATAATGTACTTTTCAAAAGATTGAATACAAAGCAGAGAAGCAGAGAGGAAAATAATCGGATCAAAGAGTCGTGACTTGTTGAATAATAGAGGACATTTCATAACAAGGAATTGGGTAATTTTTACAGCTCACGTAATCTACATATAATATAATGAATGACGTCCGTCATGTTTGTATGTACTATTATTATAAAAGTTGCCATGGTAACGCTAATAAGCGGTTTTCGACCTGTATGTGTCTGTTATACCATTGCCATGGTAATTCTGTTAATGGATTCCCAGCCTTGTGATCTGCATTACCGAAAATTTACAATCTCGTTTAGATAGTACAATGGAAACCTACAGACATTCCACCGGATCGCACTTTAACGTTAATTTTAAATAAAAGGGCAGTTATCCGCGGATTCAATACTATATTCACATCGTTATCATGAATACTCCAAAATAAATACTGATTATGACCATAAATTTATTGCAGTTGAGTGAACACAATGGTCTTAACATGTCTGTCAAAATTAGTTTTATTTGCGTACAACTTAACGCTTGTTAAAAAGGCCTTAAAACTTTGACTTATATTATATTACTCCTAACATAACCCGAGGCGAAATAACTCTTCAAAGAGCTGCTCTACACGGAAACTTTAAAACCTTCCGTATCTTTTGAACTTTACCTCCGTCTCGTATGTCCTAGTTCATTAAAAATTAAATGAATAACCATAAAAGTGCGCAGCGGAGAAATGAACGCTGAGGCTCGAACTCACTCGTATGTCTGTCTGTCCGAGCGTTTCTCTTGGATCTGAGCGAAATGTGTAGTCGTGTTAGCATAGAGAAACGCTGCCATTGGCCAAGCAACTACGTCTGACAAGGATTAGAAAGCGGGAAAGAAGATAATTACTGAACACAAATACTGATTGGCTAGAAAATACTTTAAGCATAAATCTAGCCCAAAAGCATTCACCGATTTAAATTAGGACTTAAAATAATTCGGTTTAATAAGCGCTTTACACACGTTGAAAATGTGTAAAGGTGATTAGTGTAAACTTACTGTGTTAAGTATGTCCCTTGTCACCACGGAATCGCTCGTCCTTAGATTGCCGGTGGAAGAAGGCCTGCAGATATGGAGGGTAGCTGCGAATATGTTGAATAGGAAGTCGAGGGCAGCCGACAAGGGGTGGTCCTCCAGATTAGTGGTTGGGCGAGCGACTAACGATTCCCCACTAAGAAAAGCCAGCATGAGAGAAATGTCGCTCAAGGCCTCAGACTTGGGAGGGCTGTTGTGAACCGGATGATGGACGTCCCGTTTACCTAAATGGTGGGGAATTTCTTGACTTGCCTAGCGTACTGTTAGCTTCTGAAGAAGTACTCTGTAAGAAGCTAAATGTATGAAGATTTCGGTCTTCTGGGTTGTTGCGCTGTGTAGTCTGGTCGATGTTAACCAACGTTTCAGAGGTCATACTGCCTCCGTCATCAGGGTGATGGGCCATTCTTGTTTTCTCAGTCGCTTCAGGCAAATGCCGGTACAGTACATTAGATTATGATATGCGTACACTATTGCTTCTAAATGTCACTGCACACTGAATGCATCATGCATGCTCAGAATTTAATGATTATGTTACTCATTGACACGAGAAGGGGATTTCGTATTTACGTACCTAACCACTTGTTCGTTGCCTGCAGCGAAATAGTCTTAATTGCACTGCGCATTGCTTGTGATGCAGTGGGCCATTCGCAGAAGAGCAGGGTAGGGAGTTACTTGTTAACGCACCCAGGGTTCAATTCCATCAATTGGCAGCGGTGCAAGGTGATAGCGTCTCTTCTGTGAACACAATTCCAATATAATGCAGAGGGGCTCATTGAACCGACAGTGTTCAATTTCAGACAACCATGAATAGATCTTTCAGGGACTTATGTGTGGGAGAACACACTGTCTGATGTAGTCTTCAAAGTGACGGTCTGTGCCTGATTCTGAACGAAGCGCCTATGAATAAGAACAATGGTTTACCGACATCTTCTTTGTGTGGTTAGCACTCCTGCATTATATTCGGGGGATTCCAGGCTTAAGTATTGACTCGGGATCTGTGGGAGATAGGGGTTGAAGGCGATTGGATTTTGCTGGCCGATGACAGGAACCGGTGAAGGGATTTGATTTATTCGGTGATGAACCTTCGGGCTCCCTAAGCCATCTAGTTAGTTATTATGTTTGTAAATCTCATTAAAAGTTCAACATTTATAAAATTTCTATGCCTTCGTTGAGCGAGATATGTTAACGAGTCAGTGCTATTTTGTTCTTTAAAGAAACTAAGTTTTATAACCATCAATTCTAAACCGTGGTGTTGAATCTCAAAGGATCCATCTCAGTGTAGTTCACAGTTTATTTCTGTAAGATACTTTATCGGACACTCTATTGTAACGACACTCAGAGATATAATGAATTAGTCTATTAGTAGCCGACTAGTAATAGGAAAGAGACCTCCCGGAAAATCTATATGTATATGGAAGGACTTTATTAAAACGTACCTTAGGAAAGTAGGGCAAGAGTGTGGATTGGATTAATCTG